TTTTTCCAAGAAAATGTGGTCACTGCAAATAGATCTAACTACAAAACGATTAAAAAAAACCTGCACACTATTTTAAGAAAACAACTTTAAACTGATATCTTTTTTAAAAGCTGCAGTGATGAAGGGAACCTAGCCCTTTGGAACGAGCTCCCTGTGGAGATTCGTACCCTTACCACCGTCCAGGCCTTCCGCACAGCCCTTAAGAACTGGCTAGCCCGTCAGGCCTGGGGACAAAGATAGCCGCCCCTCCCGAATGATGAATGAATGTTGCTTATTATTTTTTACTATATGTGTCTACGTCATTGTTTGTATTCCCCTTCCTGATTTTTATGTGAGCCGCCCTGAGTCCCCTCAGGGAAAAGGGCGGCCTACAAATGTTAATAAACATTCAAACATTCAAACATCTCCATCTCGCATTAACGTCTATAAAAATTATACTCATTTGTATCAAGCCATAAGAAAGCTAACACTTCTAAGTATGTCAGTAATCTAAAATAATTGGATTGTACTAGATTACGCTGTTAAGTGATTATGCTTTGTGGTAGTTAAGTATTTGGAGATTTGAGAATCAGTTGAGTTGAGCAGCCATAGAAATAGAATAAACAAACAAACAGCAACAGAGAAAGTTGCACTGTAGTCCAAACAAATATTTCATAGATCCTTAAGAAAAGTAATAATTGATAACTTAAAGAAGCAAGATGTTTGTAGTTACTATTGCTACTTGACAATTATCTTAAATGTCCAAAACCAAAATCAAAGAGTTACAGCTTTGCAGCTGAGGTAACTATTTGATTTTTCTCAAGCAAATATCTCCAGATGGATTCATTTCTCATGTTGTCATGCTTCCTTTCAATCATGATTTGTTGATTAACCCACAATATAACCGTTAGCCACAGTAAAACAAGGCGTGATTTGCAAACCATCTTTTATGGCTTTGTTTCTATAAATATAGCAACAATGATAAATTCAGTCATCTATGATTACTCAAAAAAGAACAATTAATCAGAAAACTCTTGTACTACAGATAGTCCTTGAAATATAACCACAATTGGGACCAGAATTTCTGTTGTTAAACATGGTGTTTGTTAAGTGAGTCATGAAACCATCCTTTGCTGTGGTTGTTAAGAGAATCACCATGATGATGAGTTTTGCGGTCGTTTAGTTAATCTGGCTTCTCCCATTGACTTGGCTTGTCAGAAGCTGGTTTGGAAGGTCACAAATGGTCATTACATAATTGCAAGATGCTGCAACCATCATAAATACATGCCGGTTGCCAAGTGCCCAAATTTTGATCCTGTGACCAAGGTCATGCTGTGATGGTTGTAAGAGTGAGAACCAGTCATTATTTTTACTGTCATTGCAACTCTGAGCTGTTGCTAAACAAATGTTTGTAAGTCAAGGACTACAAGTATAATATCTGCTTTGCTGTCTCACCCCCTCCCCTCTTCCAAAGTAGAATACAAGAAAGGCTTTTCAAAATTACAGTGCAGAGTTCTGGAACAGGTATTATTAAGGCCAGAGACTGATAATTTCTGTCTGCTCTGAATTCCAGCACTGTTTTAGATCTTATCTTCCTTTCTTCCCCCCACATTCACAGACACATATAGAACAACAAATTATGGCTCACTCAAAATGTCTTATTCTAAAAAAAATATGAATATAAAATGCAAAACAACCACTCTCATATTTTATAATAATAGCATCTCAAAAACACTGTGATAATATTGTTGATGTCTACAAGTACTGTAATTATATTTTTACCCTAAGAAACCTACAACAACTGTCTCCTTTGGATAATTTTTGTATGAAAATGTTTCTTCACTTGACTGGACAAATCAGGTTTCTCACTTAGATACATTCTATTTTCAATTTTTCACCCAATCACATTAATAATGTGTCCAGAAATGCTTATGCAAATTTTATTGTATAAAAGAAACAAGATTTAGAAGAGAACAAGTATTTAAATTAAAGTATTTTCATTTATTTTTTTTTGGGGGGGGGGGTTCAAGAAAAAATTGTTTGGAAAAAAAATGGAATGTACTTACCAATATTTTATTATCTACTTTGTCGCTCTTAACTTCAAGCTTAACTTTCTTTTTCACAGAAATCTTTATCTTCCTTCCAATCACATCCTTGACGCTTTCTGAAATAGTAGAGTAGATAAAATACTTTCAGTGTTCAAGATCTGAAATAATCTATATATTATTATTTTATCCCCAAATAAAAATTCTTCAACATAAATAAATAAATGACATTCTTCCTCTCTTATTAACAGCTCCAAAGTGAAATATTACATGAACTCTATTTTAAAAAGTAAATCAAGCTCCCCTGTGTTTATGGGTTGATTATAAAGACTAAGAAAGAGTAAACGGAGAGGCGGGTTCCTAAGCCCAGGAGGGAGGGAGAGAGGGAGAGAAAGAACGAGCGAAGAACGCCCTGCCAATCATAAATACAGCAGGGAAGCTGAGAAGGTGGGTGGGAAATACATGGGGGGAAAGGAATCCGTTGTACCCGCAAGGGAGATTTGTGTGACAGTAAATGGAATGGTGTCATTGGAAGTCGGGAAGAAATGGGCCATTTCAATATTTAAGGTTTAAATCTATAAATTAGGGGTTCTAGTTTTGGGTACCACAAGTTCCCCCTGTGGCTTGTGCAGACAAAGAGAGGATCAGAGTCTTGAGCTCTTCCTTTGCCTGCAACCAAGTTTTTAAAAACAGGGATCCTCCAGGTCCCACATCCTGGAGTTCTGCCTACAGTTTGGGAAATAGCTGATTGCCATTTCCTTTGAAAAGACATTTTTTTTCTGGTATCACTTCATCAAGCCCATCCATCACATTAAGAATTTACTGAACAGTGAAGTAGTTACTAAATTTTACCTACTAAGTTACTAGTTACTAAGGTTCTTGATAAATGACTATCAGACTTTGAAATCACTGGATCACTGGATCGTGTTCAACAATTTTGTTGAATTAACATTAACTAAAAAAGTTTTTAAATTGGATTTTGAATAAATATGCAATTA